TTTTTAGTTCAACATCTGAAAAAAAGGAGGGCAATTGTCCGAAACGTCTGGTGATAATATATGAATACTAAGGACTACGACTACCTACAACTATATATAAGATTGCCGTTCTTTGAGAACAGTGATTATGGAATATGTTTTTCTGGAGCCATCAATGTACGCATTGATACTAATCATTGGGGGGAGGGACGAAGCCCGTGTCACTTTTATATACAGACAAAAAATAATTTAGGGTTGATCCTTATAGTTCCATAGTATGTAAATAGACGTAATCATCCACTTCGTATGAGCTGTATTTGGGCACGTATATATGTAAATGCCGCTCTAGTTGGGGAATAGTATATTTGTAAGAAATATGTGCAAGCAAAAGCGTCACGTTTTTGATCTATACGATTTTGCCGTTATGCAGATTTATTTGAGTTGAACGTATAAGTATGTGACAGTACTTGTTTTTCTAAAATGTTAAAGGCAAGTATTGTTTAAGCATACTAACACTGAACCAGCACATCACAGGGAATTCGCATTAGAGACACCCAGTAACAAAATACTAGTATAAAAGGAAATATTTAACTTGTTCAATATATAATTATCAGTGTTTTGGGGAATTAATTCACTAGAGAAACGAAATTCTCCTTTGAAACATGTAAATGATAAATGAGATCTTAACAGTTATCTCTACTCATAAAAACAAGATAATGTGTTCAAGACTTGTCTGAGATGTACGTACTGCTTTGAAATCTGATATTATGTTAGAAGTGCTCGACTTATTCACCTGAATCACACAAGTGATAATATTATGTACGCAAAACAAGTAATGATAATCTTCTGCCCGTGCTATAAATAATTAAGAATTACGGCTATATATGTACGTGGGTCTTAATTTAGAATTTTCTATCTAGGTCGACTCTCTTTTACTTCAATATCGTGGTGGCAGGTATTTCGTTCTCACACTCGCCATGTTTGTATACAACGTGCCAATAAAAAGATAAAAAACACTGTAGCGTCACTCCCTGTATGGCCGTGTCAATCAAGCGTTCAAGGTGTCGTCATACGACTTTGAAATACATTTTTGTCATCGGATAATTATATTATTTATGCTGCGTTGAACTATTTATTCGTTATTTTTACAAATGGTGTGCTTGAATGTTGAATATAGGTGTGATCTATATAATATATAATAAATGGTAATAAGTTATCGTGGTCTTTGGTAATTATTCAATTATTCATTATGGCCAGACGACTCGAGCAGATAGCAGATTTTTCTACATTTTGTGATGATGTTGTTCATACTCAAAACTGATCAAACGCTGCATGCATATTGTTTATTTAATTTTCTACCTGGCATTCTACGATCGGCTGAGAATATGTCAAGATACGGCTGCAAAATTTGCTGCAAAAAAACACATATTTACCATTAACTGAAATATTTTATTTGACAAAAAATAACGATTTTCAAATATCATTACTTATTATTTTAGTAGAATGTTCTTGTACACCAAATTGAAATGTATTATTCAATGTAATGAATCATCAACTATAAAGTGTCCAACTGACTTCCGACCAAAAGAGCGTATATGTGCGTCTTCCCTGAATCCTAGTCCTGGTGGAAATACCATCCTTGCCTTCCGGCGCCCTTAAATCAATGAACCATGTATGTTAAAAGATTGATGTCGCGCCGTTAAAATACCCACTAGCATGCATTAGTATGACGTGTGTTTCAGGTTTGAGAAATTAACATTTAAACATTAAACACTCGTATCCAAGGGGTACACCCACGAAAAATATCCAAATACGTTACTGCTGATGTTATGTCAGACGAAACTTAACTAAAATACCTATTCCAAAAAAGTCAGAATCAAAATTGTTAAATAAATGTTTAATCTGCAGCATTCTTTGCAAAGAATATTTGTTGCCAAGCGTCATAGTTCGTTCGGAGTCTATGCTAGATTATTTGAAACTCGCCTCCAGGATATTCTCGTTTTTAACATATTCAATAACATACTTAATACTAATGATTATACAAGTTAAATAAAACCAGTGTTAAAAAAAGATTAGTGGTGATCGAAGTCTACATTGTTGTGAATTTGAATGCCTTCAAACATAGTGATATTAATATAGTGTGTTTTTTTCATATTCGATAATACAAACTTGCAATAATAAATATGTAAATATTGAAGGTTCAGAGTTTAAAAGTCATCTGGAGTTGAACATAACAGTAAGGGACTGACCCGCCACATGATCGATTGTGCAACAGAATGAAATTATCTACCCGCGATTCATTCACATGGGAACCTCGGATGTAAAGTCCATGTGTTATCGCATTCGAGCGAACCTTGGTAACGCCGGTACAGAGCAATAAATGGCCACACACATATTTCATATATATGGATTATGTAGCAAAATAATTATATTTAATCCATCTAGTGTTTCTCGGCCAATCAGAATACTGCACTATATACACTGTCTTACGAATCTGATTTTCTTACGTCGCACACACGACGGGAATGGGACATACACTTTGCCTTTCGAAACGTACGAAACATAACGTCATTCATTTGCTTTTGGTCTATGCACGGTTTCGCGTTAGATTTATCAGTTGATTATTCTGCAGTTCTTGCATATGGGGTCCAGCTGCTGCAATATCAATATACATATACATACGCCACAATAATTACATAAAACGTCCCTTATATACGCGTGCTCTGATTCATACATTTTGTAATTAATTTCTTTGACTTGTATAGCATATTCCATTTAAAATTAGGGCATGGTCCAATTTTCCGCAGAATGCTTGTATGGGTTTTAAGTAAAAACCTATTAAAGAATTCCTCTCTAGACACAATATCCCGGTCTGCGACCTCGACATTTTATCTCAGGTCGCACTTAATTTCTCAGAAAAAGGTCCTCATACTCGGGCTTTATCCTATTTGCTATGCACACAATAAATAAACAAATATCAACCAGTTAAATTATCAATTGATTGATAATTGATTAATAATTTGATAATTTGAATTGATAATAATTAATAAATAATTTGATAATAATTTGATAATTGATAATAATTGATAAATAATTTGAATGATAATGTAACTAATAGTTAAATCATCAATCAACCAGTTTGTAACCGCAGCATAATGCAATAAGGTCGGCGTTTATAACTTATACATGTACATTTCATGACAAGTATTCAAGTGTTGTTACAAGACGATCAAATTGCATTGACGTAATTCAATGTATAGTTCATCTTATTTATACGCAAATAGAATATAATCTGCATCATTACCAAATACTAGCGATTCTCAATTATTATAGTCTTTTATATTCATCAATAATAAACTCCTAATAATACTCATAGTAATGGCTACAATTGAGTATGATTAATCTACAACTTGATTAAATACACCCTGCGGTATTGTTGCTTCGGCTGATAATACCATATTATTTACCGGAACAAGAGAAGCAGTATATTAACATTCAGAATAATCAACAAATTCAATATTATTCCGGCATACATTTGAAAATAATAAACTCGGAATATTTTAATTACCTGCATGAAGATATTTGTTAATTATAATAATATATATTTATATTTCCCCAAATAAATTCACTTTGTCGGCACGTCGAGTGAAATGACTCGATGAGATTAGATACACGATTAGTACCATCGTTTTAAATGCGATAGTCTACACTGTTCAATTTACTACCGGCGTTTACAACTTCTGATTACCCAATCTACATTGGAAGCCGAGAAGTGTCAGTTTTCAAGAAAAATGTTGAATGTCAAATTCCATGTTAGTCAAGAAATGACATGACATGCACAATTCATTATATAGACATACTGCAACCGTGCGTAAAACTACTACATTTAACAGTGAACTACATTACAATAATATAGAAATGATTGTTTGGTTCTCATAATTAAAATATTCACAATTATTGGTATTTTGAAACACAGTAGTATTAATTCTTGGTGTCTTTTTATCTGTATACACATATTTAAAATATATCTGTATATATATATATATATATATATATATATATTTAAACAGGGGTGTACAAGCCTATGAACATGCAAATACAAATGGTACAAACACAAGTCATGCAACTGCACGCAAATACACGCAAAAATTAATACAAATGTACGCATAAATTCATGCAGATATATGAACAAAAGCATGCAAATGGACGAACAAATTGATACACTGTGACAATTTCAACAGTTTTGAGATATATAAACGCGCATCTGGTGCATATTTGGTGATATAACAAAATAATCTCAATATAGTCCTTATGCTGAGACATCGACAATACACTTTTCCAGGGCCACATATAATTCAACCACCTTACAAGTATTGCGATTGAGTGATTTTGATCAAAATTCCTGCGTGTTCACGAAAAAAAGGTTTCTATCTAATTACATGATACCTTCGTATCGATTGTGTGAACAGATGTACAAACGCGCAAGTCCATGCTAGTCCGATTAAAATTAATGTGTATTCACACCGCTCTGATAGTAATATACATACATGATAGTTAAAACTACGTTAATTAAACTGTAGATGCTGACTGTAAACAAATATCGCTGTGTAGCTATGCCATTGCATTTGGCTTGTAACATTATAATATTAAGCAAAAATTTAATTTAAAAACGGATATACGCTATATATACACGAGACACGTGTTTATTAGTGAGATGTGAATAGAAACTACCCGACCCTGAGACGCATCGCTAAAAATCAATATTAACTGGCTGACATTGGTACAAATAAAATCAATATAATTGCTCTTGTCGGAAGCTTGGCGTGACATATGTCTGGCAAATAAGTGTTTCATGTAACAGAATTTTCCCCGGATTTAATGTCACACGTTTACACGAGCATGTTTTCTCGAAACAGCCTATACCATATCTACGCCTGGTACGTGTGTCATTTCTGCGTGATAACGTCTACGTTATTAATATTCACAGTTTCTATTTACAATCGTATTTATTTACCCACTAGTGCGACGCCGGCGTTGGGATGAAAAGCTTCTTCGAACTACTTTACGAGAAACCGACAAAGATCGTGTTACTTGGCGCTGCATGTTCGATTGTGAGTCAGCCAGTGGCCGCTACCGCCCAGCATTGGAATCTAGTACAGGTATGTATAGTTTAGTAAGAGTAAAAACTCGTGACAGTAAAGCCAGTGTGGATATTGCATATAGTTAATGAAAGGTACAAGTTTACTCTGGCAATATGCGCAAATCAATGTGCAGCAACAGGATGAGCCAGGGAAATCGGAGACGCTGCTATTCAGGCTATGTGGTACTTTATCAGTGATATAGCTGCAGACATGTATGATTCCTTTGAACGACCTGTCGTAATATAATATAATCTTGTAATTGGAGAATTGTCCACGATATAGTTTTTGCGCTAATAAACATACCCGTCTTTAATTTTACAACTGGTAATAATTGTCTTCAAATTTATTCACTCAGGCTATATCCCTAATTATATTGATGTAGAAGGAGCTATTGGTCGGATAATATCATCATTTCGATTATTAAGTCTAATGAGACAGCCTAGCTATCATAATCATACAGTATTTAATGTGTTGTCTACATGTGCAACATATATACATTTGGTTGCTCGGGATAAATTGAGTTTGTTTTATTTTCTCAACTTTAGCTGTTTTCTCGACCTGCGTTCCACATTGTACAGTGATGAACAAACTACGTATGACGTAGCTTCATCCCCGAGAATGCAGTCTTTCTACATCAGTAGGCTGGATAATAGTCTAAACCATAGGTTCAAAAAACAGCTAGATGAAAGCATGGTATTTGGCACAATTATACTTGAGCTGAATACTTTCAAAGGTGGATTCAATGGATATAGCATATTTCTCAGCAACTGTTGTTTAAAAAACCCATTCACTCTAGCAACGATCCATTCAAGCATATGTAATTCATTCGGAAATGATAACGCTATATGTTTTCATCTACACAATCTGACATGTTTGAAGACAGTTTATGTGAATATTAAACAGTAATTGTTCGTTGCTAGGCATATCACTTAATATCAATTGACAAACAATAACATATTTAGTTTCTTAGTAACTTATTTTCCATAAGCCTCAGTCTCTTTAGACACTGGTACACTGTGCAATTCATAGAAGGCTCCAGTGAGTTTCTCGTTCGTCTCCCACACTTTTCACGCAGTCTTCTTTGGACAAACTGGGATAAAGTGTTGCAGCCCGTGAAAACATGGAAAACCGGAAGTATCAATGATTTTTGTGGGCACTAACAATGTGTGCTTACAAATTGGTAAAAATGTTTTACTAGACAACAAGGCAGGTAACTTTAAAAATCTGCCTGCTACGTATCGCTACATTTGATTCAATCAGTCTCACAGCAGTGACTTTCATTCAAGTCTGAAAACTTATATTCACGATTCATATTCTGGTTATTATCCACTTAAATTCAGTTCCCACGCTGGGACAATTTTCCGTATACTTTTGGTTTTATCAGACACCCTATTCGTCTCTTTGAAGTAACATTTTGTTTTTTGCTTCGTTGCTTGAGGCTCAATTCCTAAAACAACGACTTAACATTTTCAAAAAACAGTTTAAAAACAGTCTGAAAAGGTTAAGTCAATTGAAACTCTCGCACATTGTTCAAATCACGCATAGTGTGAGAGTTCGCTAAGTCACGCATTGTTCATGGATATTTGTTGCTTATACTTGTACATGTTGCATGTGTTAAATCGGTCGCATCAGACCTCTAGGTACATAATTGAAAACAATCGTAAATTCATAGACATTTTCTGATTTTCGTAAAAAGTAATTTTTTTTTTCAAAAAATCTACCCGACCACAAGGCTAGTAACTTAATATTTTCACCAGCCCGACTAAATAGTTACCCATACCGGGCGTACTGCCACACAGTAATCACAGCAACTGATAGTTTTCTCATGAGCTGGGATAGTTCTTACAACTTCCGAATGCAATATATCCAGAGGTCTATCTCTCCTAGCTGCTGTACAGTTGCTAGTGCTAGCACAATTATATCAGTGTCAATTGAACACTGATCTTACAAAAGCCTTGTATGATGGCATCTGTAACATGCACCATGATCCCGAAGTCAGCTTCTTGATGACTGCAGGGAATAATGCTGGATATGTATTGTATAGATATACAGAATACATTGGAACCAACTGTACAACAAGAGGGTTCTCTAGTGATGCACTTGATATCAATTTATCATTCAGAATTTTCGACAACTATATCTCGTTGCTATTCGCACAAAAAAAATGCTGCCAGTTGTTTTGGTATGGCTTTGTATACCTCAATACGCCTACATTGGTTAGGAACCATATCACGCTATCTCTGGTCTGTGCCTTTGGAATCAAGTATTGATCCCAGACAATATCTACTCATTGAGCCTTGGTTTGTTCTTTTGTGATGTGTGGGACAAATACAGTGCAGTTGCCAAATGTCTTGCATTCTCCAGGTCTAAGAATGTCCACGAGGACTCACACAATGCTCACATCCATAGTGAGAAATAAATGATGGAAATCGATGATTGTCTAGCATGCAACTTACAGTCCTGCAACGAGAAAGGATTCACTTTTGATGAGAATTATTTGTGTCCCTGATTTCTTTAACTTTTCCTTCATCGCACCATTATTTTGCTCGTGAACTGACATTTAGATAACGGGTGATAATGGGAATAATGGGTGTGGTTGGGAAGAATCAAAGAGTGAATACATATAGTCAATGTATCTTTGTAATCAGGATCAAACCACATCACATTCATTGAACACATAAATGCCAAGGCAAGCAGTTCAACCAATCGAATCCCTTCCAGCCATTGACCCAGGATTTTGTAGGATCTTCATGTGGAATCCAACCAAAAGGATTACAAATTTGACCAGTAGAGTTGTCGTGTTGTAGAGCTGCCTGAATAACAACAAAGCAGCATTGACAAACAGAGACAACTTGGCTTTAATCAATGGTAAAAGGTTTGATTCTGCCATTCAACCGGCATGGTATGCTGCTCATGATATGTAAGACTCACGAGAATGTTCAACTCCATGCAGCTAACATTCTCAACAGGGCTAAACCAGTCTTCCAGATCATTTACTAAAAGTTAGTAGATTTTCACCTGACTGTTCTTGTCAAACGATCCTGAGAATGTTACCATTTGTGTAAAAATGTCATGTCAGATTGAGTAATTTGAGCCCTCACGATCCTCTGTTTATCTCGATGAACTATGGCGCATATTATGACGCGACAGCCACGACACTTTAAAAATGTTAATAATGTTGTAAGATTATTATAAGATAATCCCCTTTTTGTTTCACAGTTATCCTATGCATCTGCCTCTGATACTCTGTCTAACACAGACAGATTTAAATACTTTTTCCGAATATTTCCGACCGACTCTGGTCTCAACGCTCCCAGAATTGAGCTGTTATTACAGTATGGATGGAGAAGAGTAGCAACCATACACCAGACAGAAGATTTGTTTGCAAGGGTATGTCAGACTCTTCTACGGATCTACTTTCCAGTTATCGTAATTCATAATCTATCACCATGGTCTACGGTATTGAGTTCCCGAATAAACATTCTACGAGCAATACACACCGTATACACCAATCAAGCGACCCCGAAACCACGACATTTCCTATACTTATAATAAACCACATACAACTTATATCTATGGACAGGGAACTGACTTACTGATAAGTGGTCTTGAAGACAAGGGAATAAAACTGCTCACATCAGAAAGCGTGGAACCTGGCAGTGTGCCAACAAATCAACTTTCAAACATCAAAGTAAGTTCCGTTTAAGTGTAATTTGACATGCCTTATGTTGGGTGGCGGGGGTGGGGTGGGGTGTGGAGGGGGGTAACGACATGTTCAGTTGATATATGTGTCGCGATTGCTATCCGTATGTATAATGAATTTGTTGTTTGCTATTGTGGTTACAGAAGAAAGATGGGCGGATAATTTTAGTCAGTATGTACGAAGACCAAGCTAGATTATTGTTTTGCGAGGTAAACATTTACATTTACTTTCACTGTTTTAACGGAATTGATGCAATTTTAAAGGAATGTTAGTTTTCAGCACTCGAACACAAATAATTACAAATGATCCCACTGGGAAAATGCGTGCAAACATGACGATTAGTCAAGAAACTGTTCATTTGAATCGCGCTTTTTAGTGTCAAAGCGCTTCGATGGTGTAAGTGGGTGAAATGGCGGATGTTCAAATTATGAATAACATGTTCATCCGTGGTCGTTCATTTGATGTCTCTGATGAATGTTTTTGGAGTAATTTTATTATATTTACACAATTTCCACATTGTCGATTTGCACGACACTGACTTTACCACTTATAATAGCCACAGTGCTCTATAAAGTACATCTCAGCAAATAAATAAATAAATAATGCGCATAAATTTGCATATATTACAGGCTTACAAACAAGGCTTATACGGCCAAAAGTACGTTTATTTACTTCCTGGTTGGTATACTGACGGTTGGTGGATAGTATCCGATCATAATATTGACTGTACGGTTGATCAGATGAAGGAGGCTATTGAGGGTTACATAAGCGTTGAATCTTTGCTGTTGAGTCGAGACGATGACGTCACAGTGTCAGGTTTGGTGAGTGCATGATAATTATAACTGATTTCAGGCCACACCTGGTAGTTCACTGTCACTGTCATACTGAAACTAGCTATGATAAAAACTTTATTGCAAACAAATTTATTATTCTAAATTAACCCTTCAGATGTCAATTGTTCTGCATTATATTGAAACGCGGACTGAAGTAGCATTTGAACTGTAAAACATTTCATTAATGTTGTAACGATTCAAGCTACATTTTACTCTAACCACGAGGAGTTGGAACAAGGTAAGTGAAATTTGTTGAAAACAAGTCAAAACTGAAATATCTGTTCTTTCCTACTCCCAACTCTCATCGCGGAGTCCATTACGTCTATGTGACCTTCCTTGGCTGCTGTGATATTATGTACATTTTAATTCTGGATTACTCATCGTAGATGACCCCTGTTACTATGAAATTACATGTGTTAATTCATAGTAATGTAGGTCATCTATGATGTGTAACCAAAGATTGAATAAATTCAGCAAGATTTGTAAATCTATAACGTAATAAAATCCAAATAATCTGTTGATCACCTTGGTTGCACAAGTACAAGGTACTCTGTGATAAGTGTCGGGAGTTAGAAAAATAAAAGACAAGTGTTTGTCTAGATTTCTTGAGTCGTTCCCTCGTGCCCTAACGTAATATTGTATTATTTTTAGACACCGCTTGAATATCTAGACGCATATAACACGCTGACAAATGGTTCCGACCTTTCGGCAGAAGCGTTTGCATCGTATGGGTATGACGCAACTTGGGTATTAGCACTGATGTTCCACAAAGTCGCTATACAACTTGAGAGGAGCGGGTCGAGCGTGCGAATTGAAGACTTCGATTACGACAACACGAATGGCTTAAGAGAACTATTCATAGACGCTCTGAATTCAACAAATTTTCTCGGCGTTACTGTAAGTATAATTATTTTAGATATTAGTAAACAATTCTCCGTAACAACTTACGCCCAATCGAATAATCAGTTAAACAATAAGACACACGTCCGTCCTTAGGTCAAACATCGGTACATGAAAAACAGAGTTTGGTCTAGCGTTAACAATTATATCTCATTTATTATATTTCGACGATACCGTAACTTATATTGATAACCTTATTATTATACATCTTTTCCTCCCAGGAATACATCATTGAAATGCCAAAATCCCAAACGTTTAGAACAGATTTAGCGAACCTCTTTGTGTGGGTCCGGTCAAACCCTGTGGGCAGCCATGTTTTTTTATCATTAGGGGACGCTTACGAGCGTAATCATTCCATATTTTAAATTCACATTTCCTAATATGGTACGATGAAAATACCTCGTAAAATACCGCACAATTACGGCACGCTGTAACCAATGGCGTTACGGTGACAGATGTTTAATAATATTAATACATGTAACCAACACATATATCTGTCATTATTTTGTAGGTTTGGATTTTTAGTGGGAAAATTGCTTCTGAGAAAGTACGCGCAGCGGAGATGACAAAATTAAGCACCGAATGGAATTCAACTCAGTGTTGAATCCCAAACACACTGAAGTAGTTGAAATATAATAGTTCTTTTTGAAATTAAAAATTAATTAATTATGGCAAAATATTTCTGACGAAATATTCAATTTTTTTTATCAAGGTGAAGTCCCCGTAGAAATAGATATTTAGGTCAGTATTGCATGTTTCACCCTTATCAGCATGGATTTCATTATATTCTACTGCTATCTCTCTAGGGGCCGATATCATTCAATGAAAACGGTGACAGATTTGGAATTACTAAAATTGAGCAACTTAGAGGTGAGTTATAGGTCAGCATTGTCAAATGATTCCAGCTGTTAAAGCGATATCTCTTACTATATATATATATATATATATATATATATATATATATATATATATATATATATATATATATATATAGGGACTTAATGGAAGGAGTGGTGACATATGTGTATTTATTTGTTTTTTTTACTTATTTTTGCTGTTTTGCAGAGATCGGTAATGAACTTGTAGAGACCACTCTTGGTTTGTATTATCCCACTGATGAATTGGGGTGGCTAAACGAAAGCAATAAATTCGAATTCAAAGGTATCATTACGATTAATATAATATTCATTCCCTGAGTATATCATATCAACTCAAAGATCACGTGATCGCTACAGGTCACCATGACAGTACATGTTGGCGTAAATTTCGTTGAATTAGGTCACTGTTGTTGCAAGCTCGTTTTAAGTTCATATACGATGCGCGCCGTCATCGGCTCTCTTGTACAAACAGCAATTCAAGTTAACATAGTTCGGACGTTTACCTGCAAACATGTTATGTCAAATCAAAGGCACAATTGGAGGATTATTTCAGCTGTTTTATAACAACTAACTACGAGCGGCAAATATTATTACTTATTCGTACAAAAATATCACGTAACACAGAAACCCGCAAATGATCTATTGCCCTGAACTAAAAGATGTCGAAGGGGCAGGCTATCCATTTAATTAAAATATGATACAATGTCCGAAAACATAAAAAATGCTGGATTTTTACATTCTAATATATGCAGGAAATGAGCCCATATTAATGCTATATATACGTTTAATTGTTTCTTCTGTTAATATGTCACGTTCTCCAGGTGGTGTAATACCTCTTGATGCGGCCCGTGTAATGTTTGAACAGCAAAGGATATCAACATCTGTGTATATAATATTTTCTTCAATGTCCTCACTGGGCGTTGTGTTGGTGTGCTTATTTCTGGCGTTTAATATAAAGAACAGAAAACGGAAGTAAGTTGCTGACGTCATATCTTGGTGTCAGCATATATTGCTCTGTATTTTGAAATGTTTGTTTCACAAGTAAAGGTTCAGATACAGTATATGAGAATCAGCTTCATTTTCAAATGAGACATTATTTAAACCCTAATAAATTATATATTGTTTTAGCTTAAAATTTGTATTTGTATAAACATGTAATGATTGTATAGTCAATTTCAAATGAAGTAGTGCTATTCACATAGGTCATATTGACTCGGATCTCCCAGAGGCGTATTTTGATCGCTACCGGCCTTTACACATACATGTTCAATTCATAGCTTCCCTTCGACCAGAAATCAACAGAAAAAAAAAATATATAAGTAAAATACATATAGTATTTTCTTGGCGTATGTTTTGGAAGCGAAATGGTGCCATGTGAATAGAAGGGAATAAATCACTTTGTTAAATTATATAGAAACTACCAACAATATTGAAATTACTATTGTAGCAATTGGTGATTTTCCGTACAATTGCGAGATCTCGCGAGATGCATGAAAGACGCGCGTCGAACGTCTGCCGCAAAAATCGAACGATTTGATTTTGAACTAGAATTTCTTTATTTCGCAGCTTACATTGACCGGCCGATCTTCGACAGAGGAATATTGCTTCCGAATACCCTTACTTAATCGAAATTGCCTATCATTAAATGTGGACAGCACATTATTAAGCATGGAAATGTCCCCGAAATACGTTCGCGTTTGTCGAATCCCACGCGATGTTTGACGCGACTACGACGCTATGACCTTTGTTTGTCCTGTTTTTACGTTCGATATTCTCGCAATGAACGGAAAATGGTCTTTTATTTTTGTGCCAAAAGGGGTTAAAGGCAGCTTCAAAGGTCAATGTGAATTCTGAGTGTTTGCCAAAATCGCTTTAGGGTCTAGGACGTAGTCGATTCGTTTAATAGTTTAAACAGTATCACAGTACTCAGAATATTATTTATGCCGGGGGAATGTGTTATTTGCGTATGAAATGAACACGATATATTCGCCGAAAGGACTATTTAATACATATAATTAAGTCGTGCAAATCTGATAATGTTATTATAAATACCTGATTACCCGATAGTTTTATAGCCGATCTGTGCTGGTAGTACCTCCCAATTCAAAATTCTGACTTGATCTGTAGATGATGAATTGAAATGAAACAAAAGCACGGAAACCTTTCCCAATTCATACAAATCGACAATGTTTATCGAGGGCGCTGTTCACCAAGCGTGGCAATCATAAAACTTGACTCGTGTAAGACTGTTAACTGTTAATGAACTATTCGCTGGTTTTTAATTGATTAACTTAATTTTGTTGATAACTAAAATTCGCCAGATTAAATCCACGTGAACATGTACAATATAACTCATTGTTTCCCCGCCATGTTCGTCAACCGAAAACACAGTCAAATTGCTCAAAACCATAACAAAAGTGAAATTATTGCCAGTAATATAAGTAGTGTGAATAAAATAAGAAAATAATTTAACTTTGGTCAATGAATGGTGTAAACACAACACATTAACGATCAACATCGTTAACACTAACTACAGTGTGTTCAATACATCCAAAAAAATGATAATACATCCAAAAGAACGATTTTGGTGACAACATAGATATACATCATCTCAACTGGAAACGATACATTAATACAGTTTCAGCAAAAAATACCCCTATAATTGGAACAACTTTAACACACATTCTCTAGCTTTGCACTACTACTTATATACGACTTTTAAATTCTTCCTCATATTTTCTATGGTTAGAGGTGTGGGAAAGTACGTGACTATATCTCACTATTTTATTTTACGTGAATACCACTACAATACTAATCATTCGTCAACTCTATATTTACTGTTCCATTGGAAAGAACAAATAAGGGTCAGGCATCAATTGACAACAAAACTCTGATGCATTTTTCTGCTTACTGTTAAAATTGTCAAAAGCCGACAGCATTTAAAAAACACACCAAAAGTCTGCCATGTAAACCCAGTAAGAACACAACTTTCACATTTATATTCTAGGTTAATCAAGCTATCAAGTCCATCAATCAACAACATAATCGCCGTAGGCTGCGCACTCAGTTATTTGTCGGCATTACTGCTCGGGCTGGATCGCATACTTGAAAGTCCAGATGCCTTCGTTAATATATGTAGGGTAAGCAAATTAATGTCAAAACTATTCAAATTCATATGCCATGAGCCGTAACTGGCAATATACCCCATAACGTGACATTTACCATGACAACGCATAGTTATGATTCAAGTCAATGTGACTTGCGTCGCATTTCACTTGGTCCGTTTTCCAACAAATTTCTATATGAAACACTCATGTCACAGCTACAAATTAATAGTTGCCAGGTTACGGTCACATATGATACCATATCTTACAGTTGGCTGTATTGTGATAGGGGTGTACAATTTGTTCGTAGCAAAATTTAGGATATTATTCATTTTTTAACAAATACTTAGACCGCCACACAACACAACGTAGTGCAACACAACCCAACGCGACGCAACGCAACACAATACAAAGTAACCTAACAATGTGACGCAACACACAGCATAAATCACAACAAAATACAATACAATTAAATGCAATTCAAAAAATACAATTCAATTCAATTCACAGAAAATATTGGGCAGCACAATGCAAAGAAATAATTCGTTACAGTTTTTATTTTCAGGCACGTATGTGGACACTTTGCATAGGTTTCACTCTAGCATTTGGCGGACTATTCACTAAGACATGGAGAGTGTATTTTGTGTTTACAAATGCCACCAAGAGACGAAGAGTAAGTTTAAGTATCAAAGGTACAACTATAGACAATATAGCGTTTATAGTGTTGATATATAGGGAATAGGAAACACACATTGGCAGGCAATCGCAGTCAAGAAACAGAGTTAAGCACCACGTAGCGTCTCCATTTCCTGTTACTTTTATCAAGGTAATGTGTATCACATAGTGACGTTTATTGTGAAATGTCACTAACTGATACGGTACGCTAAATATCAAATATTCACGTCACTTCAAGCGCATTCGAACAGTACGTAGAGAAAGACAAATCGCATCGCGGCATCGTGTTTATTGGTGCGATATATAAAGGGAATTTCAGACTCGATAAAAAAAAACTTGAATAGTACAATGAAACTAACTCATAATAATACCGTCTGGAAGTTTATCTTTTAAAAGTTATGGATAGAAGAGTTATATTATAGTATGAATATGAATACAATCTGTATTTTTTGCAAATGCTCAATTAGGACATGTACTGCCAAAGATGGCTTCCCCCTCTCGCATTTTAACACCCCCCGTTCCCGCATTCCTTCCGTCGGTTTTGCATTCATTAACAACCCCTGACATTTTATTTGCATTATCACAATGGATATTCTCATTTAACAGTAACTCAACGTGTATTAGCTCATTCTCAAACTTTGTAATAAACAGATAAGGGGGTTTCCATCACAGACTAAGTAGACTTCACAAGGCTATCTACGCTGTTCATCCTACCGCGATAGCCACCAAACTGAAAGCTTCCGCAAGGGGAATGCCAGCCATAACGCGCATCTAACAGTGTACTGTTTTTATTGGTGGAAGATTTCGACCAAGTATACCGGGGTTGTTCGCTGCTACTCCCGCATCCACAACTTGCCAAAACGTTGCGTCTTGTATTGAAGTTTCAGTTGCCGTTTATCAATAACCACCGGCGCCCCCAACTGTAAATGAGCGTTAAGATGCCATGCCTCGATATCATAAACAGCCATACGAGTTGTTTCGTAAAATTACGATTTCTTAAACTCGGATTTGGCTGCTATTGATTCCTGGATAATATTAGCCCATGGCGCCACCCGCACCAGCTTGTCTGTATGGAAGCCTCCTGTCCCTTCATCTCGTTTAGTTTAGGTGGGACTGCTTTCTATGTAATCATCAATGTCACTGATTTGTTCTCGGTTTCGCTTCAGGTTATCAAAGACAGTCATCTCTTCCTCTGTTTATTTGTTTTACTGGTCATCGATATAGTGATCCTGGCATCATGGATGGTGCTAGATCCTCCTCAGAGAACAACCAGAAACTTCACTGCCACTGTGAGTAG